ATTCTGCCTTGGTTAGACCACACCTGGAATATTGTGTCCAATTCTGGACACCACAATTGAAGGGAGATGTTGACTCTAAGCAGGAATGTGTCCAGAGGAAGGCAACTCAAAAAATCAAGGGTCTGGAGAACAAGCCCTATGAGTAGTGGTTTAAAGAGATGGGCATGTTTAGCCTGAAGAAGAGAAGGCTGAGAGGAGTCGTGATGAAGGTCTTGTATAAATATGTGAGAGGAAGTCATTGGGAGGAGGGAGCAAGCTTGTTCTCTGCTTCCCTGGAGACTAGGACGTAATGGAACAATAGCCTCAAACTACAAGAAAGGAGATTCCCCCTGAACATGAGGAAGAATTTCCTGACTGTGAGAGCTGTTCAGCAGTGGAACTCTTTGCGCGGAGTGTGATGGGGGCTCCTTCTTTGGGGGCTTTTAAACAGAGGCTGGATGGCCATCTGTCAGGGGTGATTTGAATGCAATTTTCCTGCTTCTTGGCAGAATGGGGTTGGACTGGATGGCCCATGAGGTCTCTTCAAACTCTAGGATTCCATGAGTCCATGATTCTTGCAAAACTATGACTCTCCTGGTCCCACAGTCATGGGCATTGAAGTGGTGTCCAACTACATTAAATCTCCAGTTTAGATGCAGAAGTATGAAACTGAAGTACCTCTGAAAGATGCACACAGAGGTTTTTAAAAGAAAGACAGCCTGCCATCCACCGAAGCAAGCTATTCCACAGTTAGGAGATCTTCCTCATGTTCAGGAGGAATCTCATTTCTTCTCATTCAAACTCTGGAACAGCAGAAAAGTAGCTGGCTCCATCTCCTACACAGCTCCCCATCAGATATGTAAACATTGCAGAAGTCCGAGTTACCCCAACCAGGACAGAAATCATCATCCTTGCCACCAGAACTCAGAATGTTCTGGGAGAAAAGGGACACCGTATCCGTGAACTGACAGCTGTTGTGCAGAAGTGGTTTGACTTTCTCGAAGGAAGTGGTGAGCTCTATGCAGAGAAGGTGGTCACAAGGGGACTGTGTGTGATTGCCCAAGCTGAGTCCTTGCATTACAAGCTTTTTTTGGGGGGGGGGCTCACAGTACGTAGGGGCTGTTATGGTGTCCTTCGCTTCATCATGGAGGGCGGAGCCAAGGGCTGTGAAGTTGTAGTTTCTGGCATGCTCCGAGGCCAGCAAGCCAAGTCCACGAAGTTTGTAGATGGTCTAATGATCCACAGCGGAGACCCCATCAACTACTATGTTGACACTGCTGTGTGCCGCGTTCTCCTTAGGCAGGGTGTGCTGGGCATTAAAGTCAAGATCATATTGCCCTGGGACCCGAGTGGGAAGATCGGCCCCAAGAAGCCCTTGCTGGACCATGTCAGCATTGTGGAGCCAAAGGAGGAGATCCTGCCCACCACCCCCATCTCGGAGCAGAAGCCAGAGCAGCCCCCCATGCCGCAGCCGGTCCCCACTGCCTAGAAGGGTTTTCCAGTGTCTGAAGGAAAGGACTTGATGTCTTTACAAATATCTCTTAATAAAATCTGGAAAAAGACAAACAAACAACATCACAGTTGTGCCACCTCTTCATCTCCTCTTCTCTAAGCTAAACCTCCCCAGCTCCCTGAGCCGTCCTCATAAGGCCTGATTTCCATAGGCTTGGTGCCCATAGTATCACTCGCGAAATCCAAGGCATGCCACGGTTGCTCAATGATAGGCAAATGCAGTGAATTTAGGGCATCTCTCAGATGCTACACCTGGCAAAAGGAGATCCTATCTCTGTGAATGATGATGTTTCCACCCGCACCACCTCCGCTCGCTTTTGAAAGTTGTACCAAGGCAGGAACGGCAGCTTCAGCTACCCAGATCTCAAAGGATGCCACCCGGGCATACTTTTCCCTACAAGATCAGATTCCTAGTTTAATGGAAGAGCTTTGATTCATGGCCAGTTTAGCAATAACAGCAATAGGTGTTCCGTGTGTTCCAAGGCTGGTATTCTCTTGAGATGTTCTGCTGATGGTAACTCCTGGTTGCATCATACATTGTCCAATTTTGCGGTCATTAATTGTCTTCATTTTGATTTTGATTTATGGATATCTTGTGGATGAAAGGTGCCCGTCACTAATGTCACTAATTAGTGCATCGTCACTAATGTCTCTCCTTAGATCTTGTACACCCAGGGCTGTGGCTTCTTTGACTGAATCAATCCACTTGTAGTGTAGCCTAAACGCTTGCAAAAACTGCATATTCAATGCCTTCATCTATTTATGCATCTACAGTGTAGAATTAATTCAGTCTAATACCACTTTAACCACCATAGCTCAATGCTATGGAATCAGGGGAACTGGAGGTTACAAGGTCTTTGGCCTTCTCTGCCAAATCGGGCGAGTGCATCACCAAACTACAACTCTCTCAATTCCACAGCATTGAATCATGGCAGTTAAAGTGGAATCAATCTGTGTTACTTCTACCATGCAGATGCACCTTAATGCATAACCAGGGAAGTCGTGTTGCCCCTCTAGTCTGCCTTGGTCAGACCACACCTGGAATTGCACTGTGTCCAGTTCTGGGCACCACAATTGAAGGGAGATGTTGGCAAGCTGGAGGTGACTAAAATGATCAAGGGTCTGGAGAACAAGCCCTATGAGGAGCAGCTTAAAGAGCTGGGCATGTTTAGCCTTCAGAAGAGAAGGTTGAAAGGAGACATGATGAGGGCCATGTATAAATATGTGAGAGGAAGTCATAGGGAGGAGGGAGCAAGCTTGTTTTCTGCTGCCCTGGAGACTAGGACGCAATGGAACAATGGCTTCAAACTACAAGAAAGGAGATTCCATCTGAACATGAGGAAGAACTTCCTGACTGTGAGAGCCGTTCAGCAGTGGAACTCTCTGCCCCGGAGTGTGGTGGAGGCTCCTTAGAATCATAGAATCAAAGAGTTGGAAGAGACCTCATGGGCCATCCAGTCCAACCCCTCTGCCAAGAAGCAGGAATATTGCATTCAAATCACCCCTGACAGATGGCCATCCAGCCTCTGCTTCAAAGCTTCCCAAGAAGGAGCCTCCACCACACTCCCTCTGGGGCAGAGAGTTCCACTGCTGAACGGCTCTCACAGTCAGGAAGTTCTTCTCATGTTCAGATGGAATCTCCTCTCTTGTAGTTTGAAGCCATTGTTCCGTGCCCTAGTCTCCAGGGAAGCAGAAAACAAGCTTGCTCCCTCCTCCCTGTGGCTTCCTCTCACATATTTAAATGTAGCCCTCATCATGTCTTCTCTCAGCCTTCTCTTCTGAAGGCTAAACATGCCCCACTCTTTAAGCCGCTCCTCATAGGGCTTGTTCTCCAATCCCTTGATCATTTCAGTCACCCTCCTCTGGACACTTTCCAGCTTGTCGACATCTCCCTTCAATTGTGGTGCTTTTAAACAAAGGCTGGATGGCCATCTGTCTGGGGTGGGTGGGTGCTTTTCCTGTTTCTTGGCAGAATGGGGTTGGACTGGATGGCCCACGAGGTCTCTTCCAACTCAAGGATTCTATCATGATTCTATGATTCTATAAGTCCGTCATTCTGAATCCACAGAAGGCAGTTTGCTTGTTTATTTCCTCAAAATGTCATTCTTTCAGATTCCACTCTCCTCTAGAAGAGAAACTTCCATTTCTAGTGTACACAAACACACAAGAACAGAACCCTGGAGTGATTTTGGCCTGTACATCACCCGCATGCAATGTTCTCTTCTTTTAGGCTGTTTTAGGATGATGTTGTTGTGGTTGTTTCCTAGTAAAACCAAAACAAACCAGACCCACCTGATCGGAGACAAGCTGCAACAAATTACATGAATAAGTCACACGCAAGGAAAATAAAAACAGATACATCGAAGAACCCTCTGCCTGCAAGAATACACAACTGATGCCCTCCCAAGAGATGCTACAGAAACAGCATTGGAAGGACAATCCAGCCCAACTCCCTTCTACCAGGCAGGAAGGCACAATTCAAGCCCTCCAGACAGAGGGCCACCCAGCCTTTATTTAAAATCCTCTGGAGAAGGAGACTCCATCAGACTCCCATGCAGCAGGTCCCACTTTCAAACAGGGACACCTGCTTAATGATTAAGTGGAACCTCTTTTCCTGTAGTTTGAAATGGTTCCTGGAGCAGCAAAAATCAGGCTAGCTCCATCTTCAACATGACATCCTTCCAAATATTTGAACATGGCTATCATTAGGTTGCTGTGAGTTTTCCGGGCTTGTGCAGGTACAACTGCACCAGGAGCTCCAATTTTGTTTGCTTTGCATTTAATGTTTGTTGTAGTCCTAAGTTTCAGGGACTCTGCAGATAGGTGGCTTCTTTTGGCTGCAATCATAGGGCAAGCCACCTGCCAATTATAGTTAGGTTCCCTGGTCCCGCCCCCTTTTGGTTTTTTGGAGGGAAAAGGAGCCAGTTTGGGTTCTATCCACACAGAGAAGCTTTTCATGCCAGACATAATACCAAGAGTTCCTGTAGAAAACTTCATCATCTTCTAGGGCTTGGCAGGGGAGATATACAGCCTGACCGGGGTTGTACAGCCTTACAGCTCCTTTGGTGAAGGACTTCATTCAGCTATCACGGAAACCTGAGTTCTTTCCCCCTGGAAGTCTACAAAGCTCTGCTTGGTAAGGGTCACTCGCGGAAGACAGAAGCAGTTGGTACCGGGTGCAGGGGCTCCACGCCAACAGAGGCAAAGGCAGACTGCCCAGATTAGAAGTTAAGGATTTCCCCATTAGTTACAGTTAAGAAGATAGTGCCTGTTCCCTGTGGACAAGATTGAGAGAGAGCCAATAGACTGTTAAGAAAGCCTTAAAGTACCTGTTTGTTTTCATTAATAAAGAACTTTGTTGAACCTTTAAGCAATCGAAAGACTCTGTTTTAAGGAAATCCAAAGGCCTTTAATCTGAAGCAGCCCCGGCGTCCCGTTGGACACACGGAATTTATATCCTGTCTACAGTCTTATGTGCAGGCCTATCATGCGACAGCACAGGGCTGTATGGCCATGTTCCAGAAGCATCCTCTCCTGATGTTCCTGAATGCTTCTGGAACATGGCCAGACAATCCGGAAAACTCACAGCATGGCTATCACTTTTCCTCTTCATCTTCTCTTCCTCAAGCTAAACATTCCCAGCTCCTTAAGTTGCTCCTCATAGGGACTCCTGGTTTCCAGGTCTTTGACCATTTTGGTGGCCCTTCTCTGGACACCTTCCAGCTTCCCAATCTTCTCTTGGAATTGCTTTTCCCAGAACTGGACATGGGGTTATTCCAGGTGAGAAGGTCTGCCCAAAGCAGAAGAGAGTCTGGACACGAGATTCAGCCTGGAATTGCATTGGCTTTATTACTTGTGGCAACATATTGTTGACTCATGTTCAGCTTTGGTCTACTATGATTCTTAGATCTCTTTCAAATCATCAAAGGGAGTCTTGGCTACCATGTAATCTTCTAACCTTCATGTCTTCAGGGTAATTACACACCTTGAAAGATGGTGAAGAACTGTCCTCCAAGGCAATCCATCCCACTGTCAGGCAGTTCTTACAGTTGGAAAGTTCTTCCTGATGTTTAGGTAGAATCTCTTCTCCTGGAAGCAGCAGAGAACAACGCAGCTCCATCTTCAAAGTAACATCCTTCACATGTTTAAATATGGCCTTCGTGTCCCATCTTGGCCTTCTCTTCTCCAGGCAAACTGTTGGAAACTCTACCACCTCCAAAGGCAGTCCATCCCACCAACAAGCAGCCCTGGAAAGTTCTTCTTCATGTTTAGGTGGGATCTCATTTCTTGTCATTTTAGTGCATTGGTCCACACTTCAGAATTTGGAGCAGCAGAGAACAAGGCTGCTCCATCTTCAATGTAACGTCCTTCACATGCTTAAATATGGCCTTCGTGTCCCATCTTGGCCTTCTCTTCTCCAGATGAACCATTGGAAACTCTACCATCTCCAAAGGCAGTCCATCCCACCATCAAGCAGCTCTGGAAAGTTCTTCATGTTTAGGTGGGATCTCATTTCTTGTCATTTGAATGCAGTGGTCCACACTTCAGTCTCTGGATCAGCAGAGAACAAGGCTGCTCTTACATCTTCAATGTAACATCCTTCACATGCTTAAATATGGCCTTCGTGACCCCTCTTGGCCTTCGCTTTTCCAGGTGAACCATTGGAAACTCTACCATCTCCAAAGGAAATCCATTCCACTGTCAAGTGGTTCTTACAGTCGGAAAGTTCTTCCTGATGCTTAGGTGTCCATGGCTCCATTGTGTCTTTGTCTCTGGAGCAGCAGAGAACAAGGCTGCTCCATCTTCAACGTGACCTCCTTCACATGTTTAAATATGGCCTTCATGTCCTCTCTTGGGCTTCTCTTCTCCAGGTGAACCATTGGAAACTCTACCATCTCCAAAGGCAGTCCATCCCACCATCAAGCAGCTCTGGAAAGTTCTTCTTCATGTTTAGGTGGGATCTCATTTCTTGTAATTTGAATGCAGTGGTCCGCACTT